GGTTTCCCTATGTATTTTCAATTAAGACGATTGTACAATGATTTTGTGACTAAGTATGGAAAATTTTCATTAAGTACTCTATGTCAATTTTTATTTAAAATGACCACATTGAAAAGTATTTGTTTAATGTGTAATACGGTAATTATATCAACAGCCCCATTTGTTTTGTTACAAATATATAATTATATCATATTTTGCGTTTCTCAGTCAAATGAAATGCTCATTCCGCAACATATTTTAAATCATGGCACAATAAACAATTTCGAATTACCAGGTAGCAGTAATGTAGAATGGTGTGATACTATGCTTCCAGTAGCTTATTCTTATGTACAAAAAAAATACTGGAATATAGGATTTTTTAAATACTACACAGTTAAACAAATACCAAATTTTATCTTAGCACTTCCAATCTTATACATTATGATTACATGTATGATAGAATATGTTATTGAACACACTAAATACTTTTGTACGTTGGGATTTGTTCAAAGAGCTGATAAGATAGAAATATGTGCCAAAGTAAAGAAATATCCGACTGAAATGTTAGTGTTCATTTTCCATGGATTATTTATGACAATATTCTGTATCTTTTTCGTGCATATTCAAGTGAGTACACGTTTACTATGTTCAGCAAGTCCATTAATCTATTGGTATTGTGCTTCAACTATGTGTTGTGCATCACATTGTAATGAGAAGAGAGGATGTGAATGTATTGAAAATATGTACTCAAAATGGAAAGTATTTTTTTTCACGCAAAAAGAATATACTTGGAAGGATAAACTCATATTAACTTACTTTTTAGGATATGCAATTGTAGGATGCTTCATGTTTTCAAACTTTTTACCGTGGACATAATTTATATGTATCTACTTTGTATATATATATATTATGTTGTTTAAATTTAGTCAATTTATTGTGACGTGTATTGCCGATATAAATACACGACTGTAAAAATAATTGTTATTTACATAAACGTGAAATTTATATCATATATTAAGTAATAATAAAATTGTTTACAAATGTAAAATATATATATATTATTGTATAATACACACTACTTCCATAATAATTATTTAATATGCGACTTCTTGTGTTTAAGTATTTCGATTGGTGTTAAATATAATGTCTGTGCACAAGAGGGACATTCATATATCTGTGTGTTAGATTTATGTTTTACGTTGTTACAATTTTCTTTTGTATTCTTCCGGTCTTGTTTTGTACAAGACTCTTGATGTTGTAATTTTTCTATGCTAGTAAGAATTGCTTGCATGTTACAGTTTTGGCAGTGCCATTCATTTTCTAACATCTCTATAGAAAGTTTTCGACTCCATTCGGTTTCGTTTAAACTAAAAAATAAAAGTTACAATTTATTACTTATTTGAATGAGCAAAAAAAACAGTAATTAATGACTTACCAATTATACGTAATTATGTTGGACACTTGAACACCTCCTTTAACTGTATTAGGAACTGCTGTGAAGTCAGATTGAAAAGGATTTGGATCTATATCTATAACATTATCTTCCCTTCCTACGTACATGGTTTTAAGATCAGCTGGTAACAATCGCTTTATTGTATAAGGAATTGTTGTGTGCATATATTCAATCAATTCTTGAGTAAGTGTATATTCGACTTCATTAAAATCTTGCTTATCTTCATTACTATTATTTAAATCTATAAAAAAAGTAATTATAACGTATCACTTTAAGAGTTGTTAAGTTTTAAAATTATCAATCCTTATGCATTTTCTATTTTGTATACCTTGCAATTGTTGATTTAATAAAAAATCCCATTTATTTCGCAATTTAGTGGCTTTTAACAGTAAAGTTTGACCACTGTCAGGTACTGGAAATTCTAATGCTAGCCATGAATCACATACAATACTGCAAAATTGAAGTGACATTTAAATATTAGAAATTTTTTTAGTTAAACTTACATTAATATGTACTTACATTGAAAATGTACTGTTTGTGTGAATTTCATTTGCAAACAAAAATAATGTCTGTACGGCAGGCATTCTAATCGTGTTCACCAAATAAGGTTTTGTTGTTTCCAAAAGAGATCTACAAATCATAAACATGTACTTAAAGAATTATAATAAAATTGTTATTTATCTTTCTGATTTGAAACTTACAAATACGCTAATATTGTATGTTTCGAACTAACGGGAGTTTTGCTTTTGTATTCTGGTATAGAAATAATATCTGTTTCTTCTAATTGTAATACTTGTGGATGATTTCCAAAGAAACTCATTGGATGTAACGCTATATATGGCTTTGCTTTTGTATGAAATAGTTGCTCGTTCATTGACTACAAAATCATGTATTATTTTTGAAAAAGGATTATTTAATTAAAGTAACTAAAATGACGTTACCTTGCAATAATTGAACTCATCTGCAGACGCGAATTGTGGATACAAACCACTGCATAATATTATTTTCAACATTGTTAAATCTTTGTAACTATATGCAGTGGCTGCGGTTAATAAATTTTGGACTTGACTTGGATCGTTTTTCATTCGAAATTCAATATCCTTGATATCGATTCCTTCATCGTCGTCATGATCATCATCTTCTAAACGAATATTGAACGACTCCAGTTTTAATTGTTTTCGCTTTCTAGGTGCACTTTGTTTATAAGTTCTTTTCAACGATTTCAAAAGTTTCAGTTCCCCGTGTCTTATAGCACGATCTGCACTGGACATAGAAGAGTTTACTTCAGGGAGACTTTTTAATAAATTGCAATCCTATAAAATATAAATAATTTTGTTATAGAACCATACGTTTGTCAATAAATGTAAACATTTATTACTAAAAATGTGGAATTACCTGAAGTAGTTCTTTAAATTGTGTTCTTAACTTTGTCATTTCATAAAATCTTTGCTCTTCTAAACCTCTTCTTCTACACCACTTTCTACTGCTACTTCCACTACCTCTAGATTCTTGAGAACTTTGCTGTTTCACTTCTAGCCATTCTCTGAATGCATTTAATAATGTTATCGGATCACCATGATCAGATTCCAATGATTTCCTAGATGTCTTTAAAATTTTTAATCAATATACATATAAAAAACATGATTTTTCAGAATTAGAATATATGTGTAAAGTATATATTATTACTTCACACTCTGAATCTCTATATGCTCTGTTTGTAAATGGTGTTTGTATACTTAAAGCAGCAGCTAATGACAATACTGGTTCCACTTGATGGAAAATTGAGCCCATTATTAACATTTTGCCTATTGATATGTCAACTGGTAAACGTGCAAGTGTTTTTCCAATACATGTTATTTTTTCATTATCTGTAAGTGCACCCTGAAATAAGAAATATACAGCATAATTATGACGTAGTTGTTAATAATGTTTAAGCAATACTAACATGCTCTTTCAGAGACAAAATAGAATTTTCTATGCTTTCAGCTGGTGGTGGTTCTATAAATGGAAATTTTCTTGTATCTGGAAGTCCCATTGCTATCATTTGTAAAAGTAATGAATCTAAAGGCACACGTTGCAATTCTGGTGTTGAATATTTTTCTAAAGCCATATATTCTTCTTCAGAATACAACCTAAATGAAAATATTTTTGTTACGAAATTATGAAAACATTGCATACAATTTATTACATTTATCAAAGTATATGTATACATACCTGTAACATATACCCGGTCCTGTTCTACCAGCTCTTCCTTTTCTCTGCTCTGCACTGGCTTTACTGATCCAGAATTCTTTAAGCCGTTGCATTTTACATGATGGATCATAATTCATTTCTTTTACTTTTCCACTATCAGCAACAAATCTGATTCCATCTATAGTAATTGAGGTTTCTGCGATATTAGTGGAAACAATACATTTTCTCACATCGTCGGGAGTAAAATCGAATACCTATTAAATGTAAGGCAATATGTGATTTTATGCATATGTTACTTAAGAGAAAAATGATTATAAAATTTTACTTTGTCTTGTTCATTAATAGATAGAGTACTATGAAGTGGTAAAACGATCCAATTATTTTTTTTCTGGCTGTATTCTTTTGCAGCATCTACAACTGCAGTAATTTCACTCATTCCACTTAGAAATATTAATAAATCACCCTTTTCATTTACTGAAAATGTACATTGTTAATATAATAAATTATAGTACAACAAAAAATTGAGCTTCATGCATGAGATATTTTTTACCTCCATATTTTTGGTCAATTAGTTGCATTATTTGTATATAAGGACTTGGATTGAATCTATCATTTTTATATCTGATATCTTCTATGCAAACAGGTCTATATATTAGCTGTATTGGATACAATCTCCCAGGAACCTATATGTTAAGAAGTATTTATAACACTTATTTCTACCTTTAAATATTATTAGAGGATAAATTTTCTTTAGAACATACTTGTATTACTCTAACATCTTCTTTTGCAAAGTAGTTGCTAAATAGTTCAATATTAATTGTAGCAGACATAAGCACCAATTTTACATTATGATTTTGATTGATAATACATTTCATAATGCCAAGGAGAAAATCACCATGTAAATGACGCTCATGTACTTCATCCAAAACAACAACTTCATAAGGTAATGATTCAGATTCGCCAGATAACTGTACAAAATATATATTCACATTTATTCTTGTTTAATATATTATTTAATAATCAATTATTATTTATTGGAATCTTATATTTACCTGTCTTAGGAGAAGACCTTCTGTTATAAAAGTAATTCTGGTATCTTGATTTCTTTGTTTCTCAAAACGAATTTGATAACCAACATCATTACGATTCTCTGTTAATGTTTCAAAAGCAACACGTTTAGCTAAAGATATACATGCTATTCTTCTGGGTTGAGTACATGCTATAAGTATTAATAAAATTAATTATTAATCTGTATTGAAAAAGAGAACGCCAATGATCGTAAATATGATTGGACTTACCAATTTTTTGATAATTAGTTGCATATAAATATTGGGGTACTTGTGTAGATTTACCACAGCCAGTATCACCAGCTATGATAACTACTCGTTCATTTTTTATTGCTTCAATAATCTCATTTTTATACTGACTAACAGGTAAATTTGCTTGGGTTTCTCGAAGTTTTTTTAATTTTGTGTATTTTTCCTTTTGTTTGAAATCCAAATATAAAATAATAATACTTTGAAATTTTAATAATCTCTCTTTCGATAATGCTTCAGTAGGTGGAATCCATGCAAATAATTCATTGAAGCTGAGACTTAATTTAAAATTAATGCAATGCAGCCTATGGTATACTTCTGGTATACCAAATTCATTTAAAGCAAAATTAGGGGATGTATCAGGTGTAGTAAGTTTTTTTTGTAGAGCTTCATATTTATTAACAAATTTCCAAAAATCTTCTGTATCTTGTACTACATTCAAATTTTTTGAAAATACTTTATTACACTCGTATTTGTACTTACTAAAACAAAAGTTTTCATTATCCTTCTCTGAGTTAATATCAATTTCTTGATGGAGACGTTTTTCTCTAGAATCAATTGTATGTATTTTGGACGATGTTGACTCATTAGAGTAATTACTTTTTCTATGTTTCTTGTGCTCATACTTATATTTAAACTTATTATATTCGGATTTCGAACTCATTTCAACGGAAGAATATGTTTTTAAGTATTTTACGTCATAACCTTAAAATTCGTTTCATTGTCATAGGTTTTCGGTATGTATAGCATTAAAGTCACTTTTTGATTATTTATTTAATAGTTTATTGCTAATTTTGTTTTTTTTCATACAGATACACAAATAAACTTTTTAATTGTTCATATTATACTCTTGCTTCCGTACCGTTCCGTACAAATGTAATAAATATTATTTACTAACATTACAGTGGAGCCATAGAGTACCATGACTTTGGACAAAGGGGACTACATGCGTTTCGACTGTATTCGGTTTGATTCGGAATCACTCGGAACCATGCACCTAAGTTCGGTTTGACTTGGAATCATTCGCAACACCGAAATGCATATAGTCTTCCTTATCGCGAATCTCACCCCTCTCTCAACCTAACGCTCCGTTCATACATTCGTAGGTCCATGGTAACTGCTTATCATTGGCAAATACTGACAAAGATAACTCGCTCAAATCTGGTTTTAGCAATATTTATTATGTATGTAGTGGCAAAACGCTCAAACTAGTAGATAAACTACAGACGATATAAAAGAATAGATACACTAACTGTCTACTTTACCGCCTTTATATCCTCTTCCCACTAATCAAGCTAACAGAAACACCATTTACAGGAACAATATTAGAAAGCAGAAAAAATGTACGAGTCTATAATAAAAGAATATAAGATTTGTAAAGGGTTAAGCAAATAAAATGTATTCCTGTTTTAGAAAAAAAGTGTTTCATTTACTTATAATTTATTTACGTTTTATTTTATTTATGATTTTATTTATTTAATTGTAATTGAAAGAAATAGGTAATTCTAAGTGGATCCACCATAAAGTGCGATTTTCTAGCTTTGATTCCCAGCAGTGCAAAACTTAGAAATTTCTAAGGAAATGTTTTCTTTTTATTAACAATAACTATTTTCATGTCCATGAGGTTTATTAATCGTTCTCTTTGTTCGCTAACAATCTTTCAATGACGTGCAGACCAATATACAAAATAAAGTACGGTGCTGTTTTGATTCAGTGATATGTCTTTAAATATACACTTGTGATTTATGTATTTACATGAGTGTTGCAAAAGAAGTTTTGCTTACCATATGTTGTTGATAAATGTTTAGAAAAGGATAACGTTATAGTGATCACAGAACACGCTTAGCTCGTAATAAATTTATATTCAGAATTAACCACATAAGAACATTTTTGCTCCTCGTTATAGGAGTATGTATGTAGCTTTACAGTATAGTAATTTGTCTTATTTCTGTGAAGTTTATGTTTATAGCAGTGTTTCAATAAAACTGTTAAAATTAGTATCTGAGATAAAATTGCGTAATGTAATTTAGATATTTGTAAAATCTTTTTACTAGAACGTAATGTTATAACATCGTCAATAAATATTTATATGCTAACTATATTATTTGAAGCCTCTTGCATAATATTAATAATTTTATAAATTTCCGTTGCCCTGGTAAATACTTAATAATCTAATTTGTCGCTATCTAATGTTAAAAAATTTAATGAAAGCTGCAAATCTTGTTTTCAATTAGCCATCATTTGTCGAACACCATAAATCGTGATATCACAAAAAACCATGTACAGTGATCAGAGAAGCATTCATCTTATTTATCGCTGATACAGAAATATATTTTATCGTCGATTATTATTTTGAAACAATTATCATTACGTCTTTAATTCGCGCAATTTATTGTCCGTTTATACTTAGAATTTACGTAAATTCGGGACATGGAAGTTTTATCCTTTGTTTAAATAATGTCGTCGATCCTCTTTATTCCAGAATTGTCGATTCAAGATTTCTTCTTCGTTCGTCTATCGCGTGGCTCGAATTCTTGGGATTTAATTAAATGGTTAGTCAAATTTTAAGCAAGACAATCGGTTAAATTCATTTTTACAAACAGTAGTATAAAAGCGAGTCTGAACTTGTTAATAATTAAATATTACTTAATAATAAGTGAAATCTAATTCAAAATCATGAAACGACTTTCATAGTTGATTAAAGATTCTAGTTTTAATAAAATTTCCATAATTCTATACACGTAAAATGTTAGGAACCTTCTGCACTTCAAACTCAGGATTAATTTACATTGTTTCGTTCCAGTTGTGACTGTAATCACTCATTGAAATTGACATTTTCTCTTAACAATCGAATGTTTCCCTTCATATTGGAGTTGCCTTGTAATTGACTCCGCGTGGATGTTGTCCGCAAATCGCAACTAATGAACCTTTGGATAAACGTAACTACCGCCATGGTTCCGTCTCGTTATACATTCTTTCTATGTTGTCACGTAACATTTTCTCTTGGTCTGTAAAATCAAAAAACACTGTGTATAACGTAACAGTCTGAAAGTATGGAAATGTTACTAGAATATAAATAATAACGTAAATAAAAATACCTAATTATATTGAGAAAAAGCATTAGAATATTCTGGTATTTATCATACCATTTTAAAAGTATTAAACGATTTCGAGTTTCGCTACTCACATTTGACTACATAAGACAAAATTCATACATATGATATGAAAAAAAGAACGAATTACTTCAGAATAGGAATCAATGTACTACAGAATGGGAATTGATGTACAGTTAAAGTAGTTACTTTTTGTCTGCTACATTTAATAAAAAGAAATGATTAACGATTACAAGAAAGTGGTAAATATAAATTGTGAAGATGTGTGTAATGTTTAAATCAATTTTAGCGAAAAACTGTAATGGCACACAGTTGGATAGATAATTTCAAACACTTGTTCAATGATGGTCTTACCTTTTGTTAAATTAGCAATTACACACTGCTTCCTAAGAAATTCTAAGCACAGAGTTCGTGATAGGCCGAATGCGTGCATATTACACGTGAATGTTCTAAAAAATCGACAAATTCAAAATTAAAACTACGGAAAATCGAAACATCAACGGAGTTCTAAACTGTTGTCTAATGGTCTAATAGCCATCTATAGCTACCCTAATTGACCGAACACGATGTTCGCCTGGAACCTGCGATCTTCGGCAGCGATGGCTTCCTGATCAAGAGATTTAGGTCTCGGCGGAACTGGTTTCGAAGCTCTTTCGCATTGCACTGCATCGAAAAATGCTGCAGTCCAGAATCTCATCGATGTCCAAATAGGTTGCACCCGTAGATGCGTGTACAAATATTCTCGATACGGTTCTAGGCCCGGTACTTCAACTTTTATTCAGAAAAATTACACAATTTAATATGTACACTACCAAGACCACGTTAATATCTGCACAATAGTGAAACGCACTCAGCCCAAAAATCATCTCAGAATACCTTAGAAAATTAATGACTTTTAGGCTATGTGCGGTGCGCCGTTGTACTAATTCATCCGCAGAGAAATAAAATGTCAATGTTTCCTTCCAATATTATTAACTATATGAAATATGCAGCCAAAGTAAACGAAAGTTAATTGTTTGTTTAATAAAATGGGACACGAAAATTTGGATACCTTCGTGATAGAACGTGAAGCACATATTCATAAGACTTTTTGCTGGTGCAAAATCATCAGCCTCATGGCATTCGAAAAGCGCCACTGCGAAATGTTGCGCTAAGGAATAAAATGAAGCTTCTGTGACGCAAGGACGGGCCCTTCTTGCATTTACCACCCGAGAGAACCATATTCTACCAGATTCTGTCTGTAAAATATCCACAAACACGTTGCTTAATCTTCTAGTTAAGATATTCGGTACGTTAAACGATCTATCAATACATACGAGAACCATTTGTCCAAAATTTGCTTTTTGTTCTTGCTCGATGGTATTCGGAGCATCGAACAGAAGAGGTACAAACGATTTCATGAAGTCTGCAGCAGCCTCTTCCGATTGGCTGTCTGCCGACAAACTGGAAGCCCAAGATTGAACTGATCCCGATGAGCCTGGATTTGAACCAATTCAATTGTAATCTGTGACACACAATGCGATTTCATCAATTACAGATTTTTTACCTGATCTATGCCACATTCTGCGACCGTCCATATTCGAATCTAGACTCGTGCTAGGTCCGTAGCCATCTTGGTCGCTCGTCGAGTCGCTGCTACAAGGCATATCTGAAATAACATTCTACAGGAAACACTCTTCTATCTTTTTATTAGCATGACCACTACTTTTCTAATCGATACTCAAACATAGTGCGTGTATCACATTAAAGGATGTCACATTATCGTTACTTAAACACCTTCAAGGACGCATCTAAGCAGAGACGCCTACAGAAACGAGAAGGGCACAGTGATGCTACCCTACCATGGCACAGTAAGGATCTAATCGCACATTTTCAAGATGTGGATTGTATAAAAGCGCAAATATTTACGTTCAAATAATTTAGGGTACGCGGCGGATTGTACGGAAGCACAAATTTCTGCGTCTGAACAATTTGGGATACACGATGAGTGGCATAAAAAGCGCAAGTTTTGCTATGGTTCGAACAATTTGGAGCACGCGATGCTCCTAGAAAAAGCAAAATTCAAATTTGAACGTATATGAATAAATTATAAACAATGTTTCATTTAGATGAGTTCCTTTGAGAAATTGTTCATTGATCTTTATTCAGGCAGATTCAACGTTACGGAAATCAAATATTTCTCTGTTCTTTTTTATCGCTTATTATGAATTAATTCGTTTGAAAATGGTTTAACAACGAATCGTACATCTTCCAGATGTTTAATACGTCGTTTTGATAATTACGTTTTACGCGGATTTGACTATGTTGTACTAAGAAGCGTGTGATTTCCCAAAATTCTGACTACAGCTCAGAATTACTCAACAACGAGCGGTAGAATGTAAAACAACATCTTTATGCAGAGGGTGAGTTCACGTGAAAGCGTCCAAAAGCATCCTTTCGTCAAGGGAAAACATTTTCCACGAGATCAGCATAAGTCTAAATAGACGCTATTGTATTCGCACTGAAGAGAAAGCTTCGATATTTTCTCGCCCGTGCATGAAACGAAACGAAACTCGAGATACAAGCGAAAGCTACGAAATGCTTCGCGCAGATACAATACGAATATCATGAGATAGATACGCGTGCTGTGCTGAAATTATCCCGTTGATAAGATTTTGAATGAAACTTTTCCTTCAGTGCAGTAGGAAGAAGGTTGACACAAGGATTTTGTGGCATACGAATGACGCCTGCTGTGGTTCACAATACATTCACATCAACGTTCATTTACCTAAACGAAAAACGACCGTCTGATAGCGGGTCGGGGCCCTGGCTTTGTGACAAAAAACAATGAAATATGTTATATTGTAAAATAAAATCGGTGTCACGCTAAATAACCATGAAAAAACGATATTTCTCGTCGAAAATAATGTGCATGTTTGAGTAATTGGCTCCGTGTGTACAAAAACAGATGTAAAATGCAGAGATTATATATCCGTTTCGTGAGTTTCAATGAATCAAATATTTCCAAGAAGATTACGAATGCGTTTTGAAGTAATTGATAATCTACAATCTTTAGTCTACAATCTTTTCACTATACTATTTATTGATTATTTTACTAGAATATTAACATTTTTCTTTATAATGCTACAGGATTGCACGCAGATTGAAATTAATATTTTAGAAAATATGGAAAATAAGAGCCACGTTGTTAAAATGCCTAGTGTACATGTTCTCCTGGGTGTGTATCTAGGTGTAATCATTTTAATGAAATATTGTTCGCTTTGACACTCACCTGCTCTGTAATTTAATTTATCAAATGGATCCGGTCCTGTGGCTTTGATATCCTTTTCCTCTAGTGGTTCTATACTCTCCTGGCTGTCTCTATCCGGGCTATTATCTTCCTCGATTTTATTGTCCTGTTTTTTGTTCGTGGCTGATCTCGAGGATGCTATTTCCTCGTACGTCATGCCCGGCGGGTACTTCCTCGAACACCTTGACATATTCGCGCTACCCTGACGCTCCAATTTGTGCCTTGCCATTGCCTCGTAATCTTCGTACGATAATCCAGCCCCGAATCTGTCGGCGGACGACAGTGACAAATGAAGGATCCTTCGAATAACATTCTTTCGCGTGCAATTTTATTCATTTCTATCGCGATTCGCTAAATATAATTCGTCGCCTGATATAATATTTCATCTACAAACGGCAAGTGAAAGAACAATAAAGTCTGTGAAACTCCTGAGAATCTTCTACAAACCGAACATGAACAGTACATTTTTTTCTTATCGATCTTCGCTCTTTGTTTAAAGCCGTATGAACGTGAATTGAATCGAATCTGTTGTTATCGCACCGTTGCATCTTTTACCATCGACGATACGTTTTGGATCAACGTTACCCGATATCGATCGTAACTCCGCATTCGATATATGGAACAGCGAACGTGTGTTAAGTCGAATTTACACATTTCTGCTTTGCTTTCGTTCTTGGGTCTTACACGGCGGCGATCATCGGAAGTGAAAAAGCGTTGGCTTCATTTAATTTCATTTGTTTCGATGTTCTTAATGTGCTTTCGAGTATGCACCATAATGTGTCGGGTATGTAACGTCAGGTTTCGCTTTTTGTCACGTCCGGTTCGCGGGACAGAAATGAGACGGAATTCGTTAGACAGAAATGTACTTGGGGAGCCTCAATTTCCTTCTGGCCAGGTGGTCCTCCTGTTTAGAAGTCTGAGGTGGTGCTTGCGGCGAAGAGGGCGGCGTCGACGGGGTCGTGGTCATTTCACTTTCTTCTAAACTGCTACTTAGAGCCGAGCCTATCCTGTTCCCCAGACCCTGAAGATACTCTCCGCTGCCTCCCAGCGCGGACCTGACAGACTTGAGTGCACCTCTGGTACGCCCAATTAGGGTCGCTCCACCGGTGGATGGTAAAGCCGTTGTCACGTCTACCATCTTCTGCAACAAATATGTGCAACAAGCATCGTCAAAGGTCAACAACATCATTATAAGGCATAGGATATGAAACCGAATAAAAAATGGATAACAAATTAAAGTGGTTTGTCGACATAGCTGGAAGGCTATACATACATATATGTATCTTTCTATATCTCAACACATTCTTTGTTGGTTGGTTGTTACATTCTTATGAACTTCAACAGGTATGTTACAACTATCAACGTATGATCCTATGAATATTGATGATTCAACCGTTGCTTAAATGCAAAAAATTCACTATAGGAAAGTATCTAGGTGTTTTAATTTTATTGCCTAGTCTTTTCGTGTGCCTGCAGAAATAGGGAAGAACGGATATTCGAAACAAATATACAACAGACAAAGCTGCAGTCGGTGTTGACAAGTTTTTCCGTCTGTGATTTAAGCTATAAAGCTGTTCGAGCGATTTCTCATTATTTTGAAAGCCGCACGATGTAAAGCGTTGTTTGAAATGCAGAAAAACTGATAATCACTAGGCAGTAGGTCAAGGGTAGAGGATGAGTGGTCGAAAACTAGCTAGTAAAATTGCTGCAACTCTTGAGCTGTTGTTAGACGACTTTAATCATGCGCAAGAATTCTTTTCCTTTTTTATAAAACAAATTGGAATCGAAGTGAAGTGTAAAAATGTATTTTAAAAAAAAGTCGTTCAATCGCGGATGTTTAATATTAACGTCCAGAATAAATTTTCGTATGCGGTTTTTATCTTTAAATGTTTTCGTGATAACAAAGAAAGCAATAATTTCAGATTAGAATAAAAATTTCCAGCGGCATCGTATGTAGGTCACTATACATGGACGTTTATTGTATGTCGATATGCATGGATAGGTGTTAACGTAATATCTGAGCATTGTACGGAAAGCGATAAAGTTGACAACAAAAGAAGGAGATATCGATCCTAAAATGGCATTCATAACGCTGAATATTTGTAACAACATTCAGTTATACATATTAAGATTCGGACTTTTCGAATACCTTGGTTAAGCAATTTTCGACAGTTTTCGATAAAAACATTTACTCGTTCAGTGAAAAGGAAACAAAAATTAATATAAGAATTTGATATTCACAGATATTCCGTTTTTATATTTGCAATTAGACGTATTGCAATTCTATTTTATTTCCGATGACAGTTATCAGCAACTGCCAATGGTATTTACAGTCATCCTATTTAATCCTTTACAACTATTTACGGCTTTTGCTGTTAATTAAACGGAAGCGAATTAACGACCCACGTAATGATTGCATAATCGTGGTTTCAGATTATAGTATATATACTATTAGCAAGAGTATGACGTAATATTGACAGTAAATATTTATGATTTGTTTAGTATCAGCACAGCTAATACCCAAAATTATTTGTTAACCAGCTTATATAATGTTGTGTAACCTTCTTCAAAGTTCCTGAATTTATCGTTGCAATGTCAGTAACGAAAAGTCACACAATATTTCAAACACGATAAGGCGACACGTGTAGGTATACCATTATAATTAGATAGTCAAATGCATCACTCTAGATACATTATTGCACGACATTTGGAATTTATAATGAACTTCGGACATACTATTATATCGTATAGTTTATTAGATCATATAGTTTAAAGACTTCCACATTCCCTAGCAAAAACTTGTGTCTTCTAATAACTTGTTATCGAATAAAAAAAAAAGGTTAGTTTGCTCAGTATACATTGTACAACTAAGAAAAAGATGGTTTCGCGTGAAAAAATAAACCGATAGTCAACTCTGTTAAGAATTGGAAGTGAAAACGTTCAGTCATGAACAGACAATCGGCCGGCATCTATTCAATAGCATGCTTGTTTTATGAACTTTCAATTCTAGAATTCCAATAACAACAATTTCATTCTCTGCAAAGGAAGAAGTCAGATACAAAATATGTTGACTCGTCCAGTGCAGGTTCAATGTTTAATCGCTTTCTTCGCAGCTTCAGTTCCTTATCAGAACTTTGATAAGATTTCCTATGATTCTTACAGGAAAAAAAATAAATTTCCCACATTTCTTACAGGAGGAAATTTAATGGTTAACAATATATATTTCGTTCAAGATATACAATTCGGAGCATTATCGAAAATGAGGATAGATCTATCGACGAAGGTAGAGTTCCAGAAATAATCGACAGTATTCTTCGGCTTGGAAGCTTCTGAATGGGCCGGGAAGTAGAGTGAAAGACATCGATTACGAGTGAGATACAGAGAAGCCGTAAAGCCCGAATTGATTTCGAGAACAGCTGGGGATAGCGTGCGATTACTAGCGGGGCAAGCAGTCCACTAAAAACGAAACGATCTTTGTGCGCAAGGAAATGAAGCAGCAAAAGTTAAGCGTGAAGTTTCCGTCGGTTTCCTTCCGAAAAATAGTAATTTTTGTCGTTTTTTCCTTCAATTTTGCCCGTTCAACGTGACGTAACTTTTTTAGTGTTCGCGCATGTGTTTGTGCACGCAACAATCGTCTACCGTTACGTTATCGTTATCGCGCGTTCATTACACGTAGACGAAGTGAATGAGGCCTTAGTAATTAGCGCTCACGATACAAAGCGGATGTTCTGCCAGATAACTTACATTGCCGAAACCGCATTCGTTACAACATCGATACGAACCACTGTATGATTGATAATTATAGAAAAGAAGGACTTTTCGTTCTTCTGGTTACGTCGACCTTGACTCCTATTGTCACTGTATGCAGAATGTTGTTTTCACTGAAACTATATCGATCTCACGTAAATTAAGCCGCCTTTCAGTTATGACGACTACACCTGTGACAGTCCTGTGACACGTGGATCTTCACGCAGTCACAGGATTTACAGAATTGAAACTTTACATTCGTCGTGAAAAATATTCTGATCCGCGAAACCACTCTTATTCTCATCCCGTATTTTATAAAAGGACAGTTGCACAACGGTTTGCAGTCTAATAGTGTAACAAAAATATCTCAATTGGGTTAATATTAGATCCAAAAAGAGCACGAGAGAGAGAGAGATACGGTTAAAATTCTGAATTTATTTTTCACCTGCCTAACAAACGTTGAATTTTACGTAAACTTTTATAATTAAAATATCGAATACGGAAATTTTGTTCTATGATATATGTTTTATTTGTTTTTGCAAAGATAGCTGACAGCTTCACGATGGCGCCATATGTTATGAGCAGCCGACGTATCTGTATGCAAATCTGCTGTACTTACAAATGATTTTGTACAAATTAGAATGCAAGTATTTATGGATACTTCAATTAGGACAACGACAATAATAATAGTAATAAAATTAATGCGTTTCGTTAACGCATGTTTCATACACGTTTCATTGTGTTTGATGTATTGCTATGAGATATCTGTGGTTCCAAATTTCCCCAGGATCGAAACTTCCTTGAAAACTATTGAACGTATCTATGAGCGGATCATCGATCGTGCCAACATCCTCATTCATTGTTCGGTGCCGCGAGAATTTCAAATTAACTTACCCACAAACATTTGTGGAGGTGGCGATGAGGCGGATGCAATATCGAGCAACAAGCATGCCAAGGCTATTGGAATTCTACCTGCAATTTTGCGAATGTTCTTCGGCTTCCGGTTCTACCAATCCAGTCGCAAATATAATAATCGAGGTCTCGTCGAATTTAACAATAGCAACGCGTAATAGTCAAACAATTGCAGTATATACCTGGAAATATTTACATATGGACAAGCAATATGTTGCAGAAATGTGGATGGATATTTTGATGCAGGCAATTTAGAGCTCTGAAAATGTTCGCATTGCGTTTACGCTCTGGTTCTTTAGAAATGCAGTTCCGAATGATCCTTATGATAATGATGGACAATGAAAAGGGAATCAGTTTGCGGGTCGATTGAGCCCCGATAAAGAACCGAATGCGATTGTATCGTTAACAAACGATCGACTGACTTCGCTGAAAACATGATGGGTACACACTGCCAGGATATTACTGCAATGCAGCTTTGCCTATACTGTGCCACTCTGCACCATACTGGGCATTACTCAAATTGCCAAATCGCAGAGTACGCCTGCGAAACGTCAGGCGAAATTATGTTTGTTTTTCCGAGGTAAATATTTTCCTTATCGTTCCCGTTCTCGTTCTCGATCGCCAATATAACAAATTCCGATTTTCTTTTTTACACGTCTTACTGACTTCAATTAAGTTCTAACACAATCAGGACAAAAGAGGCAAGCATTAGATATGATTTTCGAAAATAACAAGAATATCATTGCACTTCGACGTTTCGTATAGGAAAATGTATATTTCTTTGATGCTCTTCGCGTAGTTTCACGATGCTGACCATGTTGTCGTTTAATTCAAATATATTTGTTACTGCAATGATAACAAGCAGATGCTTAAATACCGTTCAGTGGTGAAGAAAATGTTCGGTCGAGGATGTCAGGCGCGGTTCTGTCACGATCACTTTGGGACACGTGTCTGACGACGAACAATTCTTGGCACCGCAACCACTTGAGTTCGGACCGTGCACTGCGAATGTAGCGTAGTTGTTTCCACTGCTGTCTCCCCGATGCACATTATACTCCCGCATGTGATCCAATTATACCGCACGCATGCGTCCGCCGCGATCAATACAGTTTTCTAAGGCTTTGCAAACGAGTTGGTACAGTAGCATTTTCGAATAGAACTCTTGTCGACTGACAGTAATGCACCGGCCGACACGCTAGTTTATCATCGGGTGATGACTATGCATATTGACTTTCCTGTGACGGGCAAGGCAAGCGCAACTGTTCAGACATCTTACCATAAACGAGCTATAGGAGTAGACCCAATGCGCCTTTTTATTGCATCATCTAATTTTTATTCAGTTACCATTTCCGTGCCGCACTCGTCGTTGTCGTTATTTCAATGTTTAAGCTTCGTAGTGAGAATCGAGTATTCCGTATATCTCATTTGCATTGCAGCATGTTTTAGGACTTAATGATTTTGGTGCCATACGTTCATACGGTACGCATGACTAGAGGATCAAAGTGGAACTTATAAAAAATACGATACTGTAGAATTATAAATAAAGTTTATTATAGAAGATCACCGACAGTTAATATGATCAATTATATCGTTAAATAAAGCAGGTATACCATGATTTGTATGTCAATGTAAATTCTATGCAACTGTTCGTTGCATACGTATACGTTTCTTGCTTTTTCTCTCGTACAGGAATCCTTGCACGTCTGGAAAATATAAAAGTTTGATTCTGCATTCGTTTTTTCTATAGATAAATAATAGTTTCAGCGTTTTCTAAAAGTTTAATATTTAAAAAAAAAATGTAAGGTCTTTCTGTGATCGCGCATCGGTTCGGTCACGTAAGCCAGTAGTGGGGATACAGTAATGTCTCCCTAACTGACGCTCAGATTGTACACGAAAATGGACAATTTGGGAAGGGGAGACACGATTATTCGTGCCTTGCGGTTTGTTTTTATAGTTACGAATTGTCAACGATTATAAAAACGAGCTGCAAGGCTCGAATAACCTTTCGGGTAGGATTTGTTCGGAATCAATAGTACTCTCGCGTGCGGTGGTAGAAAGTTCTTTATTTCGCGGACTGTGTCTGCGGACGAGTCGCGATGCAGTGATCGAGTTTGATTTTTCGTTTCGCCGTTTGCCCTGGTAAAATTCTTGAACAACCCTGATTGGTCAACCCCACGCGTTGGGCCTTTCCAATCAGCGTTGCTCATTTTGTCCTTTTTACCGCCCGCCCCTTACGCTCTTTGCGTATTTTCGGGACGGCATGGTAATCGGAGGGGATGATGAGTTGTACGTGACAACGTGTGGAACTTTTCCTCCGGGTCAACCGCGACCCACATGGCCTTTGGGTCGCTGGGTCCGCTTCGAGTACCCTTCGGAAACTCTCCTAATTTATGACGGTCTCTTTAGCTATTGAGGAATTTCTTAAAAGACTCTA